CAGAGAAGGATAGGTGGATGTACTGGACACGCGAGCTGCCAAGAAGGGGAAAAAGAAAATGTTGATAGGCGGAAAGAAATCTGTGCATAAAATGCGATTGGCTGATTGATTGAGTTTGATGAGTATTTTTCTCTCAGTTTATGTTGTGGTTCTTGTTTTTCCAGGAAAACGGCCAAGTCGAGAAAAAAAGCTGCGGTTGGACCAGGAGACTGCAGTCCCAGCGGTGGGTCGTCTGGTGCGTCGCGTCACCCAAAACCTCAGAAGCTTCCTCCAAGTCCAAACACCGTTGCCCAGGCGAAGCAGGTGCGTCGATTGTTTACACCAAGGCTCTTCTGAGTTGTTGAAATCTCTTTGTAACATTTTGTGTCACTTAATGGTTGTTTTTCTCCCATTTACACCTTTATCAATCATGTCTTTTAAAGGTCCAGTGATTTCTCTGGTCAGTCGACGGTGGATCTAAGTCTTTTTCTTTGTTTGATTGATTTCAGATTGTCTTCAAAGTTTCACATCTCGAGTTTTTCCTCAAACATATGTAGTGATTTGATTTTATGACATCATTTTTTTATTTTATTTGAAACCTTTCCATTAAATTCATTTTTGCTCTTTACCAAACTATTGGATTGTGTTGCCTTGCCAACCTTCCATCATCATTTAACCATAAGAAAGAAACAACTACCTAAATTGCTTTTGTACTTGCTTGGACTATCTTTGAAAATGGAGTCTGTGAAGAAATCTTGACGCAAAATAACCCTTTACTAACTTTGAAGCCTCTCTATTTAAAAAGAAAATTTGAAGTGTGGGAAAAAACAACAACTTTATTTTATTTTATGCAATCTTTTTTCCTTAATCCTAGAGAGAAGACAAATCGCGGGAGCATAAAACCCAGAACGGCGTTGCAGATTTCCCTCCGGCCCTTCCGTCACAAGCTTTAGCCCCCTCAGTTGATATTCTCAAAGCCGGCATCTCTCCCCTGGCAACCGTCAGCAGCATTAATATTGACATCCCGTTGCAGCTGAGTGACGGTTTGATGAAAAACCCAGTTCAAAGGCCCCCGTCTGTCGAGTCACGGAGGGAGCCTGGGACTCACATCGTATGCAAAGACAGGAAAGCTAGGTGGAAACCAGATCCCTCACCTCCTCCTCCTCCTCCTGTGAATCCCGCTCTCAGAGCTGAGTCGGGCGTTTGCGCCAGGGGAGGAGACGAGAGGACGGCTTCCGACGGGCTGTCAGACGTCCAGCCGAACCCAGGTGGTGCACGCCCCCCCGCCTCTGTGGAGAACCAGGACTCGCATGTGGACATCGGGGACGACACCGGCGAGTTACTGCGAGAGGCTGAACTGAACTCAAACGCAGAAAACGTGAAAGTGGACGTAAGTGCAGACAGTAACAATGACACTGTGACTTTAATCAAGGGGACTCCAGCGCATCTACACATGCCAAATGTTGATGTAAGTTTTTAAAGAAGGGAGAATCAATGTTTTTTTTTAAATGTCTCTCTTCATAGGACTCCTTATGTCTTTTCAGGACAGCCTTGAAACGACGGAAAAGCTATTGGAGCGTCCAGCAGTGGTAAGCGACGACGAACCTCCCGTACCGTTTCCCCAAAATAAATATGGATAGGTTTTTTTTTTAAAAAAAAAGCTAGTACCGATGTGCACAGAGGATGCAAATCTTTACTTAGTGGTGTTGGAAGATTTGCGTTGTGTCTGTTTAGGAGCCTGTTGAAGAAGAATCGTCTTCTCTCTGGATTAAACGAGACCCAGCTACCGTTTGCCAAAATCCCCAGATCCTCTGTGAGCCTTCAGGGTCAGAGCAACACAGGGGGATGCTTTTTGATCCGACTAAAGGGGGGCATAAACAGGTAAACATAGCTACTAGTGCTAACTAGCGTTGAAAATCTATACAATTTATATATTACTGAACTTTCAATATGACATTGCAATAACATAGAAGTAATGTGTGGTTCGTTTATAGTTATAATTTTTCCTTTTTTGAAAAGCGACTCTGAAACCGCAGCAAGCAAGCATGAAGGCCAGTATGACTGTAATTAGCATTAATGTTGGATTTTCTTTTGCTTCTTGTTAATTCAAGTTGGCAGCGTCGAGGCCTTTACCTCGTCCTCCCACAGAGGCGGCGGCCGTGGAGAGGAAAAGGAGGATTAAGAAGACCGTGGAGAGCAAGAGAGTGGATGCGACTGCCGCCTCCACGTCTGTTAGTTCATCTAAGGATGGGTTGTTGCCTTTACCACAAGTGAGAGCAACACTTCAACTCCCTACAGCTTTATTTGGAGTTAAATCAAACCCTAAAGCTTTGTATTTATCAGTTTCTCTTTCTTATATCATTGTCACCTTTTTAAAAGAATTTTGGGATCTATTTTCAAGCACTTTATCCAAAAATGACTTGTCTTTGTTTCTGAAAATCTTTATTATTATTATTATTATTAGTATTTCATTGTATGATATTATGCAATCCAACAAGTCATTAGAAGTTCTTAAAAAGTGGATTTGAAACCTAAAACCTAAATCAAACAAAGGTATCGTTTACATTTATTTAATTTTTGTTTATAAATATATTTTCAGTGTTGTAGCAGTAAGAGAACTACAATAAAAAATTGATCTGGTGAATAACGTATGATATGTTTTTAAGTGAATTTAATCCCCGTCTAATTTGGTGGACGTGGATTAGACATGTGTTATCTGACGGTGGGGTTTCTGTGTTTATTACTCAGTTTCTAATCACGCTTCTTTATACATTTTAAATAAACTCATTCATCTATCAGCCTAATTGAGAGCGATTTTATTTTTTAGGAGCGTCCGCTGACCGCCAGAGAGAGAAGACGCCTGAGGCAATCCCAGGATGGCGCAGGTCAACCAGCTAATGCCTCCAAAAACCATCAATACATGGTGTAAAAAAAAAAAAAACATATATATATATATATATATATATATATATATATATATATATATATATATAAGACAGAGAACATTCAAATAGGTCTTTGTTGTTGTTGTGAAGAGAAATCAATGAAAAAAAAAAACCCCATCTAAAGCCAAACTACAAATAGTTATGATCCTGAACAATTTCACCTAAATGTTAAGTATTATAATTGCGAGGAAAATCCTATTTGGTTGTTTTCCCTGTTACTCAGGTCCGAGTGTTGTGCGAAGGGCGTCGTATGATGTTGCCTCCACCAAAGCTGAGCGACACAACGCCCCCGTCACTCGATCTGCTTCATACACTGTCACAGACTCCGGCAGTAAGGTGATGGAGCAAAGGTCAGATGAAGACGAGTACAGCTCATCCACAAGTTCCACAGAGCGCTCAGAGGGAGACTGCAGGGAACGGTGAGGACGAGTCAAGTGTCTCAGCAGTCCTCTTTGTAATTAATAACACTTTATTCTTTGAGTTTTATACTGAAGCGCATTAACCTGTGTACAAATGTGCTCTGTGTACCAGCAGAAAGACAGAATCCAACGACATGCATGATTTGGTCCACATGATGACTCAGACTTTGAGGATGGATGTTGGAGACGCTGGGCGTGAGTTGGGAAAAGGCCGACTGGACTCGAGCGTGATGCCAGAATTCAAGCTGAATCGCAGGTACAGAGACACCCTGGTGCTTCATGGGAAAGCCAGAGAAGAGGCAGGGAGCCTGTCACTTGGGGAAATCCCAACAGGTTAGACACTTTGTTTTAATCCCAGCTTCGTAAAGCAGGCAGCGACTCTCCGACTGCCTCGAGTTCAACAGCTCTGTTTCTTTCGAAGGCGCCACGTCCGGTCCAGCCAAGGTCAGGAGAGCAATAGAGCGTCTGAGAACGGATGTGGTGAAAGGTCTGGGTGTTAAGCTTTTGGATAAAGTGCTTGAAGTCATGGAGGAGGAAGATGAGGTCAAAAGAGAAGTGAGTAGAACAGACCCTAATGTAAAATCTCTTAAATAAATGGGAAACATGTTTTCATTAGAGATATCTTAAATTAGTATTTTTTTCCCTTCCTAATACCAGTTATTTCCTTCTCTTAATTTTAAAAATTAAACGTTCTGTATTTTTTTCCCTTCCGAGTTGGGAACTAAACTTTATTGGATCAACGGGTTAGTACTTTTCATGGTAATTGTAAATTAACGTTTCTATTTACTGAACTAAACCTAACAAAGACTAACTTCAGTTCACATTAATTCATTTTTTAAAAATTGATTTCTTTAATTAGCACCAGCCTTCATTGTGTTTGCAGCTGTGCCTTCGCGACCAGATGGGAGACGAGAAGTACCAAGCTTACGCCGTCATGGTGAGGCAGCTGAAGTTTTTCGAGGATATTGCCGTCAAGATATGAAGAGGACTGAAACAACGAGAATACACACAATTTGGGGGGGGGGAGTGCTTTTCCAAATGGTCACTTCAGTCAGTCAAATCAAGCACTCTCCCATTTATCGAGGTACCGAGGAAGTTTGGTCTTTAACGCAAACATTTTGCAAGCTGAAATTTGTTTCGAGGTTAAAAATTCTGATATGAACAAGTTTTCTGTGAAAGAAGAATCGACACATATGTACACGTCGGGACAAAGTGGTACAAACAATTATGTAAATCACTTATTTCTGCATCTTACAAGGCGACACTGGATGTGAAATTGATCCTTTAAAGTTGAGGACATCTATGCAAACATTTGAGTCATTTTAAAGCTTCCATTTCAGGAGTTTCATTTATTTATGATCCTTCACACTGTCTTTCTTGTGCTGTTCGAAACACCTTAGACGTAACTTCTGTTGACTAATTTTCTTCTCGACACAAAATAATGTAAAATAGATTTATTGTAGATATTAACATGAGTGATTTTTAATAAAACTAAAATGGAAAGCCTTTTCTGTTTTTGCTTCCAGTTGGTTTGTTAAAATTGGAGAATTGCACAGTTTTTATAGCAGATAAAAACATGTTTAGGGTTTAAGAGATTTTACTGATGAGTGCAGAAAAACGTGAATTGAAATTTCACATCAAATCAAACAGACGGCACCGGATTTAACTTTTTATTTATTTTTTTTTAAATGCACAGAATTGACCCTCTTATACTGTTATTTGCTGTGAATGTGAATTGTAGGACAAACTTCACTTTTCTATATAAAAAAAAAATGAACAGGATTATTTATGCTTCTTTCTCTTGGTGTTGTCCTGGGGCTTTTGGGTGGGCTCTCCGCTGGCTTCTGGTGCCACCGGCTGCCAGGGCAGAGGATTCCGTCTGTACATCGGCCATGGAGGCAGGGTCAACTAGAGAGGACGGAAACAACGTGACAGATGTTTACGGAGCAATATAAAAAGGGTCGATGTGACGCAAGACACCAGCCAATGAATGTAGAAACTCACCAGGCAAGACACAGCAAATCCAGCCAATACAATGTACACTGTCCAGCCAAACTGCTGAATAATCAGCCCATACACGAATCCGATCACCTGAGAAGAAAATCCAAACCACATCAGTACAGCAGGACTGCTGGGAGGAAGTTTAACCACTTGAACTGCCATCCGTGCCAGACAATTTGTCCGTCCTCGTGTTTTAAGTCTAAACGCGGTACAGGTTTTGCCAAATATTTCCCAGTTGTCTTCAAAGCAGCCTTGTCATAGACACAATCAGCATGAAAATGCAGATTATTTTGTTATATTAGTATTCAAGCAAAAGTATTTATGATTTGAGTGAAATTATATCACCTACGGTTGCTGACCCAAGTAAACTTCCTGAACTTGTCGATTGGTAAAGGGTTAGTGACGGACAATTTTTTAGCAAACAACTTTAGAAAACAGATGCCCCTCGGCAAATTAGAATAAAATCCAAAATGTCTGTTAATTTCTGTAAGTCGGATCAAAAAGTGAAACTGATTACATTGACTAATTACACACTACAGACAGAAATTTGAGCATTTATGTAATTATGGCTTATAGCTAATAAGGTCAGAAAATTACAAAATGTAATGAGACCAATAAATGTCTAACAAATGTGACTTGTTGGTTGTCCAAAGATTAGAACTGTTGAAAAAGTTAATTTTAGAGCACTTTACATGTCCCCACAACTGAGGTGATGATTTCATTTTCCATCCAATCTGCACCTCCAAACTGAGCTAATATCTAGTCAGCATGCTTACTTTACCTAAACCCCTGTGCACAGAACAGGGAGGATGAGAAGGATGAGTCACCAGATCCAACAATGAAGAACTATAGACCGATATTCTTTTAACACCTCGGCAGAGCCACAGGCTAATATCTCCATTGCATACTGCATTAATGGGGTAATTCATGCAAAAGGAAAAAGACCAAGAAGTCTGTGCGTAAAAGCACAATAAACAAAAATAAGACTTTGAGGTATATCATTTTGTGTGTATCGAATATTTATAAACGTTTCAAGTTATAGAACTGAAATACTTTAACATTTGTCATTTTAATTCTGGTTTAAATTAATTAAACTATTTACCGCAGAGATGAGTATAATTCCTTGGAAAATCTGCTCAGCCAGCTTCTGGCCCTTGTAGTCCTGCAAAACAAGAGGGAGATCAAATAAATTAAGTCATTAATGATTCTTATAATAAAGTCCGTTAGCAAAAGATGTCTGCAGAGGTTCTTCAACTGGTTATGCTGCATCTGCAAACTGAAGGATAACTTTGAACTACTTTTTAAAATCATTGTTTGACAGAGGTAACAATGTTAATGCGACGCTTTTATCAACTTGTAATGTTGAATCCAAGTCCGAAATGTTATTTTATTTTATTTTTTCTGTGTAGAATAAAACATGGCTTTGGTTAGCATCCGTTACCAAAGTAATCAAAACGACAGAAAGCTAACGTTTCGTGAATAAAATCATCTGCATTATTTAAGGTAACTAAATTTACAGTTTCTCAACAAATTAGGTAATTACTTCTCACCATGTGCGTAGGAATGGACTTAAATACAGACAGCATTTTTACACTTGAAATGAACCGTCTAAACGGAAATATGTTTGGCTCTGGTTAGAGTCAAGCAAGCTTACTTCCGCTTTTAAAAGCTACGTTGTATTGTGAGGAAGGACCTGTCGACGTAATACGGGTGCCTAACTGAACAGAAAAGCGCAAGTCCTCAGATTCATATATCATGTGGATTCCTCAAAGCGCTTCGGGTTTTGTTAACACTCGCTTCAAAGTCTGGGAAATTTGCAAGCTATGTACTAAGGTGCCGTACGTAAATTTGAAATTTCCCCATCATAACTGTAAAATTGGCTATGCATTTTTACAAAGTTATACTTTTAGAATATTTAGAATTTTCTTACTAACCTTAATCGAAAACTTTTGCGTACTCGAAAGGCCCAGATAATGGAGATTTTCAATCAGGCATATCCTAAACGCCTAAAGCTGAGTGCAGTCGTGATAGCGGAGGGGACAAACTTGTTGATGTTGAGTTGGCAGTTTGGCTTCAATGTGAATTCGTCACATATGAGTGTTTTTTCTAAAAACTGCACCTTGCTTGTAGGCGTCTTGAATCTGGCGTCTTGAATTCACACCCAGCAGAACCTTTTTGTGTCTATGCCGTTATCACAGAGCGGCGTCGCGACGTTACGGTCTGGGGGGAACTCAGCCCACAGTGGGCATCACTTAAACCAGCTTCGGTTCTATTTGTATTCTCTTGGTTTTTAATTCTTGTCGTAGTGCTGGAAGGACTGATGCGGCGGCTGCCATGACACTAAGGAGAGGTAAGAAAGTTGCATTAACAATTATGTCATATCTTTCCACACATTAAGATAATCTGTGATTAATTGCACTAATAACAAACGTGAAATTGACTGTAATTAACATGGATATTGTGGGGAAAATGTACTCCTCCCATCAAGTTAAGTGTCCAAGTGAGTGCCTTGCAAAGGTCATTTTCCATACGTTGAGGCAACTACAAGCATTAGTATATTTTAATGGGATTTGATTTGTTTTTGCTAGAGCAGCACAAAATAGTATAGATTTGTGAAATTAAAGGAAAATAATATGTATTTGTATTTACCTCTCTAATTTTGTTACCCTATAACCTGATGCCTAATAATTCACCTGTGCTCTTCTGTGAAAGCTTCAGAGGTTTGTCAGAGAAGACTGATCTAAAAATAGCATTGTAAAGACAAGACAGATCAGTGATAATAATGCAAAATGCTATGCCCTAGCTGGAAACAACATTGAAACAGGGTGGTGGCTGTGTAATGCTGTGGGGATGTTTTCCTAAAGTTAATGGGATGGAACTCAGCCAAAACACACAGACATCAACTGATCCGACTGAACTAAAGGTATCTTTGAAAAGAGAAACGGGCAAATGCTTTAGTCTGTAGATGTGTAATGTTGGTGGAGTCTTACCACAACAGACTTGTTGCTGTAATTTTGGTGAAAGGCGGTTCTGCAAAGTATTGTCTTGGGTTTTGTGTGTGGAGAGAGAGAGATTAGGTAAATAGGAAAAGCACATAATTTATTCATGGGAAAAAAATGTTGGTAAAGTCCCCCACACATTGAAGTTTGTGGTTGCAACATGACAAAATAAGGGAAAGTTCTGTATGTTAAACTTCAGCCTCTTACATCTAACAGCTCCATCTCATGTGCTCCACAGTAAATGGAGTCCTTCTCGTTCTACTGGCCGTGGCCATACTGATCATAGTTCATCGAAACCTCCTGAACCTCAGTGACTTCTTGGACAGAGAACACCCAGGTACGTTTCTGAGCCCAAGTTTACGCGCACTGATGTAGTCGGAGTATTCTGGTGCAACAAAACCACTGTAAGCGCTGTGCGGTTAACGTGCCCCAATCCAGATGCCGGACAGATTCTTCCTTTCGAGGCGGAGTTGTCTCCTGGTGTCAGGCAGAAGATGGAAAGGAAAGGAGACGAGATTCCTGTCCTCATCACTGCCTCAGAGGACAGGCTTGGGGCCGTGATCGTTGCGATGAACAGCGTCTCCCGGAACAGCAAAGCCAACGTGGTCTTCACTATTGTGACCCTGAATGATACAGTTGATCACCTAAAGTAAATTTGTTCTTTCTTGTCTTAATAATTCAGCCTGCGCAGGAATTCTCTGTCATCTTAAGTGAATTAAAAATGATCTTTTTTGTTTTACCAACAGAGCGTGGATAAGTAAGACAACGTTAAAAAATGTCAAATATAAAATAGTTATCTTCCAACCAGAGCTTCTGAACGGGAAGATATCAAAAGATCCTAAAATGCTGGAAGCTGCAAAACCAGTAAGACGACTCAGACTCAGAATACATGTCACAGCTGCTGTTTATGTATTAAACATTTTATGATGTGTGTGTGTGTTAGTTGACTTTTGCCAGGTTTTATCTGCCCATGTACATATCGGGGGTGGAGAAGGCGATTTATCTTGATGATGACGTTGTTGTACAAGGTAAGAACGAACCCATAATAAATCAAATCAAAGTCAAAAAAAGGAGGTTCATTTATTTGTTGCTTTTGGCTATCAGGAGACATTCAAGAGCTTTATGAAATCAACCTGAAACCGGGACATGCAGCTGCCTTCTCTGATGATTGTGACTCAGCTTCTGCTAAGGGCATCGTTCGAGGGGCTGGAAATCAGGTGGCGTTCCCATCTAAGTTACTTGTCATTTGTGCTGCTTAATATCAGGAACTGAAATATACAGATGCAGTATTAAACAGCTAATCCTTTCCTGCAGAACAACTACATGGGTTTCCTGGACTTTAAAAAGGAGGCTATTAAAAAGCTGGGGATGAAGGCCAACACGTGCTCCTTTAATCCAGGAGTCATTGTCGCAAACCTGACCGAGTGGAAGAACCAGAACGTCACCCAGCAGCTGGAGAAGTGGATGGAGCTCAACTCTCAGTGAGCGCACACACACACACACAAGCTGCACGATCTGCTTCCGCAGAAATAGAAATAGTTGTAGCAAAGGCATTTAATAATTTTTGTTGCCATTTTCATAACAGGGAGGATCTGTACAGTAACACGCTCGCAGAAAGCATTACAACCCCTCCGCTTCTCATCGTCTTTTATAAACGTCACTCCCCCATCAACCCGATGTGGCATGTGAGACACCTGGGTGAGTTACAGGTTAATTTCTGAGTGTTGTTTCTAACTCTTTGTTAATTGGTGGAAATAAAAATAAAAACTTTATTGGTATCGTAGCAGTCAAACCGTAATGTTTGCTGACCAGCTGATGCTTGTTTCTAGTAGTATTTCGATGATTTATAGTCAGAAGTCCTCCTTTTTCCATCACCCTAATCTTTAGGGCCCTCTGTCAGATTAGAGTCGTGTCTTTGGCTGTGCTACTCCAAAAAGATAATATATCGCTTCCAGTTATAACAGACATGCTGGTAAAGTTAATATGTTGCTGTAAAACCTAAATCTGACATCTGTAAAATGGTTATGAATAACTTTGGTCTTAAGCAGAGAGACAAACTAAAGAAAAACTGGTTTTATGGCACCGAGAACATATCAGAGGCAGCATTCGTACCATACTTTCCTCACACGTTAAATTGGCAGCATCAATTGCTTTTTATTTATAATTCTAATGCATTTGGGAAGAGGAACCTCTAAAAAGGGAGATAACTGCACTTGAAATTTACAGCAAGACACCTTTTACATTGTTCAGTTGTGATATTTCTTTCAGTCGTAGTCAAAATTGGCTGCTCTCATGTGGATGGGGGGTAAACACTGAAATAATCAAAATTGTAACTTTCCAGTAATTCTAAAGGCTAACGCTAATGAATGTAAAAATCCCAACTTTTCAGGTATCACAGGCGCTGGAAATCGCTACTCTCCCCAGTACGTGAGGACTGCTAAACTGCTGCACTGGAATGGACATTATAAGCCCTGGGGGAGGACATCGTCCTTCTCCGACGTGTGGGACCAGTGGTTCATCCCTGATCCCACAGGGAAGTTTCATCCCGTGCGAAAACACGCAGACTGAAAAATTACTCTTCGGAGACCTTTGGACCAAACGCAGTCCCTGGTGGAACACAGTGTGGCTCCTTTCACCTCAGGAACTAAGCAGCCAGCAGTCTTATTCGTCATCCTCTGGATTTGTGGTACCTCTTCACTCCGACGTTGTCTTGAACACAGACGCCTGTTTTTACAAAATGTTTTCCTTGCAATGACTCCAACTTGCCCTTAGAGTTTCTTTTACCAGACAAAATGCATCATCAATCATATGATACAGCATTACATAATGTTCTAGAGTTTCTCAGGCCTTTTGAGACCATATTTGACCATAGATTTATTCTTTTTGTTTAGGAATCCCATGGCCACATGAGCTTTAGTTGTGTTTTAGGTGCTGTGACTCACACAGATCAGTTACTGCCTCACAAGTGCACTAAAATGAAGCCGTTACCATTTTCACAACTTTATAGTCTAATATTTTGCATACCTAATTAGTAGGGACCCTATTCCACCAGATGAACCACATACAGCTGCTTATTTAAAGCCAGTCATAGCTGTTGGTCCTCAGTTTAGCTTCGACACAGAAGTTAAACTCAAAGCTTAAAATGTACTAAACAAAAACAGTGTGGTCTAAATTTAAGATTACATTTTTTTTATACTTGTTAAACTGCAGGAAGGCTGCCAAGAGAAATGGTCATCACTGTGCAAAGGTTTAATGCCCATTTATGGTAATTGCTTAATTATGGCCTTAATAGAAGCTTAACTGTTGCTAAATGACAGCTTAGTGTAAGATAAAGGATTTTTCGGTTTACAGAGCAGTAATGATATAGTGGCCAATGTGTATTTATGTGTGCTTACCTCCTCCCTGCTAACTCTCCCAAAGGCTAATATCAGTGCTTAAAATACTTTAGGATTTTTTTTATTTTTTGCACACAAGATTTATCCAACCTTTTTTTTTTTTAACCAGTATTTAAAAACCTCAAGTTGACCAGTTTAAATACAACCTCACTCCCCCCCCCGCCCCAACTATACAAGTGTAAAAATGAACACTAACATTCCTTGTTACATTGTGGATTTTTAATAACCAGACCACTAACCTCTGCGTTGCCTCGGCATTTGCACAAATACTGCATGCCTTGTTTGCTTTTTAAGTAGTTTCCTGTTCTGTGTTTTGTACAATGCCAATAAAGTATATCTGCTGTTTCCTAAACTGTGAAATTACTACTTTTATAGTTGAAAGAAATGTAAACATTGTTTTAGGAAAAAAAAAAAGGAAACATTCTACTTTTTATTTAATAGGTTTGTAGGTGCACATCTATATACACGGTTATAGATTAAGATCCCGCAAACGACCTCCAGTCACAATCAAGTATATACACAACTGCTTAATAAGAAAGTCAGTCACATAGGCATCAAATTATCTTGATGGGTAAGGGTGGATAGGTAGATTTAAGGGGGGAAAAAACATAGCTGAGGGTTAAATTGCGTCCATGAGTCGAGGTACGTTTCACCGTTCTTTAGGTTTGAGTACAAGCAGGAGTTTCAGAGCACCTGGCCTAATAATAGTGACGTCAAACAGCAGAATAAGCAAATGTAACCACATTCCTGGCAGTGACTCAGCCTTTTTAAAGACCATATTTCCATAACACGATACAGTTCTCACCACTGTAACTCCCTGTTTTGTTTTCTACGGCTCAATGCCAGTCCTGATGGGATCAGCTGGCAAACAATAGAGCAAAGTTTAAAGAGTAATCACTGAAAACAAGTCTGTGTTTTTGTTCAGCCAACACTTCAATGTGGAATCAGGTGGCCAATGTCTGGAAGTTAAGACAACTCCGGTCTGATGAAGAGATAAAATAGGAGTAACGACGCAGGGACTCAATTCTGTGCACACAACGCGTTTCCATCCATGTGTGGTATAATCTGACCAATCAGCAGTTTGTGTTTCCACACTACTTTATGACAGTAGCCTGGCTAGTTTATGGGTATCGGTGCCATTTACATGGTTTAGTTAACAACGGGGGACCAAAAAACGAAAACACAAAGCTGTTCTCCGTCATGAGTAGTTCCAGCTCTGGATGGTGAAAAGAGTCCATGAATCAAGGGGGGAGTTCATTTAAAATCAGTGTTGAAGTCGTAAGCATCATCTGTATGAACGGTAGAGAGGCTGATGTCGACAGGGACAGGCTGGAAATGAACCTTACTGGGTTTATCTGCAATGAAAAGGCAAAACATTAACTTACTTATTTATTAGCACATATTTAAACCGATAAAAATCTATGCAAAACCCCCCCAAAAATACCTTTGACTGTATTCTGCAGCTTCTCAAGTTCCTCTGTTTTATGCAACTCCTCCGTTTCTCCAGGCTGCGAGAAAAGCAGACAGAAGTTTTATTTGTTTGTATCCAAGTGCTCTTAAGAGACACGGTGATGAAAAGCAGTCATCAGGATCAGAGTTGGATTAGAAGTCTTCATAAAAGAAATCGAGACTTGCATTATTGTCCTCATTTCCAGAAGTTAAAACAAATGCCGTGCAAGTGCATTTCTGTGCATCATTACCTCGTCGTTCTCACTGTTGTGCTGCGCCTCCCTCTCTGCAGGTGGTCGCTCTTCAGGGACGGCGGCCACCGTCAGCAGACCTGCAGTCGGCCCTCTGGAGACGAAGCTGATGCTGCTAGCCAGGTTTGGAAATTTAAAACCTGTGGAAGATTTTTTTTTTTTAGGAATAAAGATATAAAATTGGATGAAAGGTACAGCACCTTGCAGACGTAATCGCACCACTTCAAGCTGTTTTTTCGTGTTACAATAAATTGCTCACAAGCTTCTAAATGTGTAAACTCAGCTATAACATTTATACCTTTCAGAATTTCCATGTTGCCTGCCTTCACTTTGGCTAGATCCCAGCCGTTCTGCATCTCAGCGATCACTTCGTCAGTCACGTAGTTTGGGAGGCTGTAGTTGCCTGGCACTTTACAGTGGTAGCTTAATTTGGCTCTAGAGGGGGAGGAGGGTAAATAAAAGATTTTTGTGTAATTTAAATGACACAAAAGCCAAACACTTGCTCCAGCTAAAGGGTTTGGATCAGAGTTGGATTAGAAGTCTTCATAGAGAACTCAAGAATTGCACTTTTTCCTCATTTCCAAAACAACGCAGCTACCTGCTTTTAGGAAACGCGAACAAAAACGACGCTCACCCTGTCCAGTCGGTAAGGAAAGTGTTTGCCGCTTGCTCCGTGTTTGGAACGCCGCCTTTCTGCAGGAAGCCTCGCTTTTTGGCCAACAAGGTCAAGAACTCCAGGGAATTCCTGAAGTCCGGGACGGTATACTGAAGCATGACCTGAGACAAGAAGATAAAAAAGTTAGCAAAAATAATTTAGCAGTTCCTTCTCACTTTCTCTGTGACTGCAACAGCCAGTACCTGCGACTTATCACACTGCTTGAGCAACGTATTTACGGCATCCAGCACCGTCTGCTGACCCTCCTCCACCTGCAGGCTCCTCAGGGCCATGGAGGCTGCTGGGTTGGACGGCGAAGCGATGACGCCCGGGCTGTCCATTAGCTTCACTGTCTTTGACATGTGCACCTCCTGCATGGATCTGACGTGCAGGAAAGAGGACGTTGAATTATGAATGACGTTTTGGAGGCAAGATGTTTTAGCCACAACTATTTTTCTTTGCTTACTTCGTGGTGCCTTTTGCAATACCAACATGGCATGCCATCATCCCTTTCAAGTTGTTAATCAGGCTGCTCTTCCCTACATTAGGAAAGCCTGGGAGGAAGAAACAAAAAAGTTCATAAAAAGGATAGAAATTGATATATTTCATAATATTAAGCAAGCAAAATGACAGATTCGAATAAACTTACCAACTACGCCCACTTTGAGTGCGGCTTCGCTCTGCGTCTTGGCGGCATAAGCCGACAGTAGCTCGGCGAGACACTCGCTGCCAAAACACGCTGCTCCTTTGGACCTGTCCAGGACTTCGTTGGAGGGCACAACTCTTTTCCTTTTGGTTTTCTGATGAGCAAAGAGCACAACGTGATCGACTCAGTTAGCCTCGACACATTGAAAGGTCGACATAGCTCACACCCACCCCAACAGATTTTTTTGGTTTTTTATGCAAATGTTCCACAAAAGCACACATGGTCCCTTCTGACTCAGGGACTAAACTGTGCCGTTTGTCGGTTATTCTCGGAGGTCACAACCAGTCAGAACAGCACTGGGCAAGCTGTTCAACCTTCTCAGCCCTCCACATAAAGACAAGAAGATTTTAGCCATTTAAAAAGGAAACTATTCTCTACAGAGGGATCGGCCGGCTGTTCGTTCTGCCTCCAGGTATGAGTAGGAGTCGTCTTCCACAGGAAACTAATACCAATCTTAGATATTTTACATGAATTAAAATGACACAGTAGCTGCCAGGAAGGCTCAATGTATTGCAATAAAGTTGCTCCATTTTATCCTTTTGAGCCTTTAACTTCTGTTTCAGAACACTGGAGATGATGCCAGGTTTTGGAAACTTTATAACAAAGGTAAGAATCTGCAGACTGCAGTTAGGCAAATCACGTCTTACCACAGTTTTGTCCCGCATTTGTGTTGAAGCTTTGAATGCCACAACTGGAAACTCCCTTTGTAAACATTCGATCCACTTCTCTACATTTTCCTTTGGTACAAGATCTGTAGCAGAAAATTAAAAACAACAACATGAAAATCAAATCATGTTAAGAGTTTTATTTTCTTGGTTTAGCTGAGAGCTTCTCATTTCCATTTACCTATTTTGGTCAACACAAAAAGTAATTTCTTTTTGCCCCCCAGTAGCACAGCCTCCTCCAATTGTGGGCACCTGCATCCCAGAGGATCCCGAGCATCAAGGACTTCTATTACAACATCAGACGCATCTATTACCTGCAAGGGGTGACTTTGTGAGTAAAGCTGACAGTGCATTGTGCTGGATCTCACTGTAAGGGTGCAGGTATACCTTGTTTAGTTCACTGCAGAGGTGCTGCTTTGAGTTCTTGTTCGGAGCTGAACGTTTCACTGAATTATTTTCTGCGGTGTCCTATGCAAACAGATGGAGACAGACGCCTTAATCATTTATCTTGCCGTAAAAAAAAAAAAAAAAAATTAACTACAAACAAAAATATATTTTTTATTATTATTGCTTTTTTCAGACATGAAAAACTGCAGCATTTGCATTTTATAATTTGCTTTGTAAAACAACAATTAAAAAAGTAAAAAAATAAAAAAATTGGAGTGGTGTTTCAGTACTGGCTACTGATGAGGTGGACTGTTACCTTTCGGGCCTTCTTGGCGCTTGGTTCTGCTTCTTTAACAGCGGCTTCCTTCTCTTTTTTCCTTTTCTGGGCTCGCTCTTCCTTTTTGGCTTGTCGTTTCCTTTCTTTCTCTTCTTCAATCTAAAAAAAAGAAGTAAGTTTTTCAAAAATACATATGTACATGGAAACTACCAACAGCCATAAAAAAAAAAAAACATTGCTAAATACTTTTTACACCCATCTAAACTAAGCTATTCGGATGCCAGTCCACCTGCAGCCTCCTTTGCTCTGCCTCTCTGAGGACCTCCTCCTTGAAGGGGGCGCTGTTGGGCACTCCGGGATCCTTCTTTACATGCTTCTTCAATCCTTTCTTTTTAGCCTCTTTTTTTAACTTTCTGTTATGCTCCCGAACCTGAGATCAGAGCGGAATATTACTAAGGTTATTGTGGAAGAAGCAGCGATGTAATTTGTGTACACAAGCATGCAAAAAAAAAAAAAAAAAAAAAACGTATCGTAATGATATATTATGACAAACATGCAAGAAATGTAGTTCAAAGATATTTTATCTACAAGGTAGCAACGTAAAAACACTGATATAAGACAAAAAGCCACTTACCTTCTTCTGTATTTTATAACGTTTGGAGCAGGATATCCTTTTACTTGCTTTCCTTAACTCTGAAGAGAATGAAAGCTTCGTTAGCTCGGTTAAACCTCGGTTAGCCTTAGAAAAAGCTAATGTAACCTGACCCCAATGAACAAAATGGACAACCCGGCCATTAAAACATTAAAAAGCTGCTCTTCGTGGACCATTTACTGTATGTAAATACACTTACTTGGTCTTTTCATTGTGTCGCTGTTGATCTGCCAATGTGACTGAACGGCTCACACGTGGAAACAGCACAAGTGAAGTTAGATGTTGCGTCTCTTCGGTTTCACGCAGTCCGTAAATGATCTTCTGCCACCTGCTGACTTGGAGGTTTATAACACCTTATTTTCTCAAAGGTTCATTCGGATATTTTCCACATTTTCTCGTAATAACTAACCTAACCCTAACCCTAATATCACAACCACAAATCTTAATAAATGTTATAGCGAATGTTAAGTGATGGACCAACACGAAGTATTTTATAATCGTGTCTTACCACAAAAGTGAGGAATCATTGCAAACAGTGAGGACGGAGAGTGTTTTAAATCTGGACTTTGGGCCATTCTAACACATAAACAGACAGAGATAAACCATTCTGTAGTAGCTCTGGCTGCTTGTTGAGTGTTGTTGTCTGGCTGAAAGATGAGCCTCCACCCCAATATCATTTCTTTTGCAGCTTCCAATAGGCTTCTGTCCAGGACTGCCCTGTATTTGATGTAAGAATACCTGATTATGAGGTTCTATGATTTATATGAGCATTATTTAGAACTTAGACATTATAGCCTGTTTGAATTTGGCAACAAATACATCCACCAATATTGAAAATATTTCAAGTCTGATGTGACTCCATCTGGAAAAAAAAAACAGAAGTTGGACACCTTGTCTATGAAGCAGCCTGGAGGTGGCAGCAGTAAGCTTTGCTCAAGTTTGTCTGAGGCTGAAACCAAAACGAAGCTACAAGTAAAAATGAGTTTCTAGGTTAATTGTTTTCTCCAGCACATTGGCGTAACCTATCACAACTGTTGGCAAATTTTAATCAAGTTAAACCAGTAGCTATGAAATTGTAGTAATTTTAAAATGATGTAAAATATTAAAGTAGAGACATTACATTGCATATCTTTTTTTTATTTTTTTATTTTTTATTGAACCTTGTGGACTTTGCATGCAATAAATGTTTCAATACTGAAGTCTACATCTGTAAAAATGTTTCCTACCCTCTGTGCTCATCTGCCATGCATGCTAATCTGCTATGATTCTTCCCTACAGCTAACCAAAGTGCTATCTCCTGATCTCTTTGCAGTCCCTGAAAGATCTGCACTCTTAGCATATCCTGTATTACTTGCTTGAGAGCTTCATTGACAGCAGCTTTCAAATGCTAATGCCACACTTGAAACCAACTCCACACTTTTTAAAGGCTTAATTATTGAATACATGCTAGAGAAAGAGCACACACCTGTTCATGAACCAGTTTTGGAGATGTCAGCTTTCCGACTGACGTTTTGGCCAATAATTAATAAGGTTCCCGCACATGAAGGAGATGCAATTTTAAAAATCATTTGGCTTGCTGCTGTGTTGGTTCTTAAGCCCCTCTCTCAAGATCAAACACAATTGGTTCCTGAATATCATTAGCATGTAGATACTTGACCCTATTCTTTTAAATTACGCTTACATTAGGTATGATGAAGCTGCTGTTATTGGTTAATATTTTAATCTCTAAATCTCAAAATTTATTATCTAGGCATGCTCATCAGTGCATGTTTGGTAGCTGAAAAAAAACAACTAAACAGATATTTTTAAATGTGATAAGCATGCACTTTGCACTGAACCGACTCGACATGCCAACCACACTCTCAAAAACCACAAACCAAACCAAATCAGTCACAAACTGACTAATGTACATTGATGCTTATAAAAAAAAACTTAAAAAAAAAGAAGTGAAACAGTCACGGCATGAACCTCAAAGAAAAAAATATTATAAAAATATTTTCAGAACTGCAGCAGGACTCAAAACAACCAGGCATCATCAATAAAAACCATCAATACGGGACAATATGGGATCTCTTAAAGGGGGGACATCTTGTTTGTGTCATTCAAACCAGCCATTATGTATTATATTGAGTCCATATAAATTTTTCTCCAGCTGGATGGGTGCTAAGTGGGACCTGGCCTCATAATGTGCTTCTTGCATGGAATTAATTTATGTTGACTAAACAGAATCCATATTGGCAAAACAAGTTGGGCACCTATGCAGTTCTTAACTCTCAAACACGTGAAATGCCCCAACTCTCATTTGTTAACCCAGAGGTGTCTTTCATAAAATCTATAACTAGGGGTCATTGCATCATGGACAACTCCGTCTGAAGTTTCCACTTTAAACATTTTGAATTCATGGGGCCCCGTACAGATTCTTATAAATAAATTGCAATATCTTGAAAGGTCATTGTATTTCAGAAATTTTTATTTAAAAATGGAAACTCCCAATTTTTAGTGACATCCACAGTGATATGTTTATTTAGGTCACAATTGTAATGATTACACCTCACAGCTGGAAAACCAAATAAGTTGACTTCTCAGAAAGTCTTCATATTCATTAAGACTATAAACAAAAAACAAAAATGTTGTGTTGTGTTCATACCACAGAGAAGACTGCTGCTGTTTCCACTGTGGTCTCTTACAGCACGAGTCAAACTCAAGGTTTGCAGGCCAAATGTGGTCAACCATAGCTTGATGATAACATTTGTACGCATATCTATCTATCTATCTATCTATCTATCTATCTATCTATCTATCTATCTATCTATCTATCTATCTATCTATCTATCTATCTATCTATCTATATATTTTTTTAATTTTTAATTTTTATTTTTTTTCAATCTGAACAGTTTTACCAGTGAACTAGCAAATTATATGAATGTGAAAATATGTTTAATAATGTTTAGCTTGAAGAAGTACTCAATGAATGCAAAGACAAATATTTATTAATATTTAAACAGTTTGTTAACGGTTAGTTTTATAAGTACTTGATGGGCCACAAGTGACCCATCACGGAGAATCACGAGAACCAATCTTGATGTAGCTCAAAATGAAAATGAGTTTGACACCAGTGTCCTATAGGGTACACCACAAAAAGGTAAATGTAAAAGACATCGGCTGTTCACAAAGCACAGTATACGTGCTATGAAAAAAAGTTGAGTCGAGAGAAAATAGTGTTGGGAAAAGTTGCCCAAACAACAGGGATAAGCACAGACTTGCTGGGAGGATTGTGAAGCAAAAGCCGCACAAGAGCTTGGGGAGATCAGCAAGGTTTGGGCTGCAGTTGGAGTCTGTGCTTTATGAGCCTCTACACACAGACATATCCAGGATATGGCTACAATCGTCATACTCCTTGTGTTTCGTATCTCCTGAACTTTAAACAATATCAGAACTATCTGACTCAGGAAAATGACTAGACTGTAGTTTGGTGGTCCAAAGCCCATTTTCAGATTTTCATTAATTCTTCATTTAATTTAGAAATCAAAGTTCCAGAGTATGGAAACAGAGGATAGAGACAGGTAACTGAAGTGGACTGAAGTCCAGTGTGAAGTTTCCACAGTCTTTGGGGAGCTCTCCAAGTGTTGTCCAATGTGTTTTTTTAAGTCCAAAGAACAGCCGTCTTCCAGATAAGTTTAGATCATGTCCGTCTTCCTTCTCCTGACAAGCCTTTATGGAAATGCTGATTTCATTTTTCAGGTGGACTAATCACCCACACTACATGTGGAATACCTGGATTAATTACCATTGTATCACTGTGCAATTAATGGCCAGCAAAACTAACCATAATAGAGAACCTGTGGGATGCTGTCAAGAGGAAGATTAGAGAAACCTCACCCAACAGTATAATAAATATAAATTTTCACTGGACAGATATTTCTGCGTTAAACCCATGTGATGTTTTTCATTGGCATTATATTTAATGTATTATTTGAGAAGTGGCTGTGTGTTTAGTTGTGTGTGGTGGAGCAGATGGAGGGTCTCTCCTTGGGCGCTATGCAAGCCAGCCTCTGCTAGTATCATTCAGTTGTATCAGCACTGTCATACAGACTGTACTTAGCAGCAGGTGTCGCTTGTTACAGTCCCTGCCAAACCTCCACGCCTATGATAGCAAGTGGAGTCACTGGCTCGCGAGTACAGTGAACCGTTTTACCTGAGCGCCGCAGCTCGGGCGCTGATTGGTTCGCTGGCTGTCCGACCCTTAGGTGACGTCAGGAGCACTGCTGCGGGTGAGGCGGGTGAGGCTGCCTCTCAGTCCAGCCTCAGTGAGACAGGGAGCGCTCCGAGCAGCAGCAGCAGTGCCAGCAGCAGAGACAGACGCGGTGACTGGACCTCACTGACCCCGCACATTCACAGGTAAGGAGGACTCACGTTGAACCGTCGGCTCACTAACTTTATATGTGACTCTCCGAGGGACCCAGCAAGGCGTGGCTCGTCGTGTTTGTTCTGACACCTTTCTTTTTCCCCCTCACGCAACATTTATCAGCCTGTCTGTTTTTATTATCCGGCTCCCTCACTCACAGTTAGTCATGCATACTTCATTAGTGAAAGTCCGTTAATAAGCGCTTAACAATGAACTCGTTTTATAAGAGCCTGCTGGTCATAAGTACAGTGGAGTCATTCTGTTTTGCGCTCACATTCACATTATAAAGATAACCTCTATTTTACGAGCAAATACTGACGTGAAATTCGGCCAGCATTGAGGCACTGAGGTGAGAGCTTTCTCTTCCCCCTTCACACCAGTCACTTCTACAAAAGTGAGTACTACCGGAATTAATGTGGCTTAAGACGGATTTAAACTCTTTGGTGTGACTACTAACAAATACTTCAAGGTCTTGAGGACCCCCTGGTGGTGAAATTAATCCTCAAAATACACAATCAGAGCTGCGTGTAAGTTGTCATGATGTGAAATTCTCCTCTTATTTAGCTCCAGTTCTTTCCCCTGTCTGTTTGATGTCTTCCTCTCACATGTGAAGCGTGCTGATCAATTAATAGGCCCACATTAAGAGATTTGTTGTGCGTCATTAACACAGGCTGACCAATCGACCCCCATCATCAGCCAGTGGGTGCACAGGGCTGATTGATATGCAGCCCTGCTGAGGCACTGTGCCAAGCCCTGGAAATCTGTTTTGTGAATCAAACAACAAGTGATGATGGCAGAGACTTGAGTTAATGAACTGTGAATCACACAGACCGCTTTTTCTGTGTTTGTGCTGGGAAAAAAAAACATGTTGCACTTGGCACATCGGGGGAAAGCGCTCGCCCACTGCTGTAGAGGCCTTGAGGTTCTGACTTCAGCAGTTTGACCCGATGAATCATTTTTAGTGTTATTGTTGTGTGAAATATGTGAATGGAGCTCTCTGTCTTGTTGACTCTGTCTGTGTCAGGCTTTTTGTGTGTTTTTTTATCCTGCTCATATCTGTGCTTGTCTACCATTTCCTCAGAAATATGAGTGGTGATACGAAGTGAAATCTGATCCAAAAATCAAGGGGCCAATGTAGGAAAGGCATACCTTTTGGTTGTCAGACTGATCATATCAGTCAAGCTGAATTCTGCAAGTAAAATGATTCTCTTTGTGCCTTATTCAGTCTGTTTGCATAAACATTGCAAATATCTTATATTTTTGCTTTTTTCAAACTTCACACTAATTTTATATCAGATAAAGATAACCTGAGTAAATCCAAAAGTAGTATTTGATTATATTTTATATAGCAAGAGAATAATGCTATCTGAGTCAACCTGACTATGCAATTGTAATTGACCTATAAACCAATAATTCTTGGGTATGTATCCAGACTTTGACTAAGCCACACAAAATCCCTCTATTTTTTGCTTTGTTTGGAACTATTTAGAGGTGCAATTGCTGTTTCACATTATTGTGCTGCCTCATAACCCCAGTGTGCTTGAGTTTAAGGTCACAAACTGATGGCTGGACATTTTCTATAAGTATTTTTTGTTAGAGAGCAGAATGCATGACTCCATCAACCACAATGAGCCATCCAGGGCCTGAAGCAACAAAGCAGCCCAGAACACCACAGTACTAGAGTGCTGCAACAATGTCCAGGTGCCAGTATAGTGAATTTTGTGAAATGCTGTTTTAGGTTTACACCAGATATAATGAAATGTACACCTTCTGAAAACTTTCATCCTTGTCTCATCAGTTCACTGAATATTTTACCAAAAGTTTTGTATAATCATAAGGCAAATGAGAAACAAGCTTTTATGCTCTTTTTGGTCAATGTTTCCTTGGAGCCCTCCCCTTGTGCCCCCCCGAGTCTCTTTCTGTTTATTCAATCACAAACACCAACCTCAGCTGAAGAATGTCAGGCCTGGGATGCTTTAGATGTCTTTCTTAGTCACTCTCCTACCTACTGGATGAGTCGCAGATGTGCACCTGGGGTAATTTTCATAAACTAGCCATTGTTGGGAAGGTTCACCATTGTTCCAATGTCCCAAAGCCTTAATGATAGTTTTGTAACCCTTAACAAACCTATTGGCCAATGAATTTGTTTCTCAATTTCTTTAGCATTCCCTTTGGCCTACTTCATGTTGTTAGATAGGTTCTATGGTTTGCCAAAATTAAGTCAGGATGTTTCTTGTGTAACTAAACTCAGAATTAAAAAAATGTGTACAGTAAATTCATAATTGATCAGGGGGTGTGATTACTTTTTCCACATAAGACAGATTTTTAATAGACATTTCTCTTTAATAAATAAGTTTTTTGTATTTTAAAGCAATTCAGGTTTATTTCTGTCAATAACATTTGTTTGATAATCTAAAACATTTAAGTGTGATGGAAAGGCAAAAACTGTTAGAAATCTGCCAAATGGCAAAAATCTTTCACTGCAATGTATGCAAAAAAAATATTGACAAACTAATTAAAGTAATAGCCCATTCATTGATCACAAAGGCTTTTATCTGTGGCCTAATTACTAAAGTTTCCTGGAAAACCCTTTACTGACTGTCGGGATCTTTTTCATTTTTGCAGAGTTTTTTTTTTTTTTTTGCTAATGCAACAAATTAAAGTAACAAGCACTGATACTAAAAAGTGGTGGACAGTGGTGGTTGTAGTTCAGCATAAAATGAAGTATATATGTATGAATATTCTTGATCTATCAAGGCATACATCCCTAACCATCATCTGATTTCTGAATCAGATGATCAGAAATCAGATGATGGTTCAGAAATCAGTACCCTAACCATCATCTGATTTCTGAATCAGATGATGGTTAGGGTACAGCAAAGGGAATGTGATTTTTTTTTTTTTATGCATTTAAAGGTTGGAAGAATTTATGTTTTCAGTTTATGAAGAGGAAAAGAAAAATTCAGAATTTCAGAATTTGATTTTTTGAAAATAAAATATGGCAATTTACATTATTGGCAAACTTACTGGTGTATCACTATTATTAAAAACAACACCGCATTAATGTTGGCTTATTACAAATCAACAGACAAGCATAGCACACCTCAATCTAGAAATAAAATCAATATTTTGAACAGAGGCAAGTGCAAACAATGTCAAAGAAGACACACTTTTTTCTGGCTTGATGGTGGATGACAAAGCAGCGTTTTTGTTGCATTTCCACCACCAACTGGAATAAGGTGCTAATTAGGTTGCCAACTACAGCTTCTTGCAGGTTCTCTATGCCACTGAAAGCACCATCACCTTGTGGTCCTCTGCTTCTGGTTGGTGCATACGCAAAGGAATATCAGTCCACGTTCTCCTGTGATGCATAGCTCCACACGTGACGATAAATATTTAACAGAGCAACTGATAAATGTTGCCTGTGTTTAAATGACGAGCTGTAGAAAGTAATCAATGTCATGGTAGTGTTAAAGTTATGATTATTTTTAAGATTAGGCCATAGTTCAACAAATGTAATCTGAAAAGTGCTGCGAACAACAACTGTTGGTGGAGAATCCTTAGCCCAGCACTGCTTTAGCCATGTGCAGGATTTTCTTGAATTTTAATGTAGTTACATTTGCCATCATCACCACCTGCTGGCATGTTATAGTTACTGCAGAAAATTTGGGTGAAATTTGTTTTGTTTTGCATAAGTATTAATTTAAGAAAATATCTTGAGTCATCTAGCTGTGACTTAATTTTTTTTTGTTCCTCTTCTTGCTGTGAAAGTTTTATTTGGGAAGGATTTTAAAATAGTTTCTGCAGGCACTGATGAGAGGAGCCTTTATTGCCTGGAGAGATTTTCTCCTCTTAAACACGTGGAAACTGAATGTGATTCATTTATGCATTTCTTCAGAATTTTCTTCAGATTTTGCAAGTTATCATCCAACCATAGACCTGCTAATTTCTTTTGTTTTTATAAACAAAACTATGTAACAAATTGGCTGTTGGCTGCCTTGTTTTCATTCTCAGATATTTTAAGGATGAATGTCCACAATTGCGTCATAATAACTAAGAATAAATAATTGTTTATTCACCCCTCTTATGTTTAGCACTTAATTATCACTTACGTGCTGATTTCCAGTCAGGCAGTTACTCAGAACAGATATGGCCATTTGGGAGGGGTCATCTAAATGTTTGACAGGTGCCAGAAAAAAGTCCTCAGAGTGAGAAAACACTTGTTCTACACATTTAAACATGTAGAAGATCACCCCATGTACATGAATGAACGCTTTAGACTAAATGCTGTTTCTTTAAATGGTTGGGGATGAAACGTTTTAGTGTGGAGTGCTGGCAAAGCAAAGAGTGAAATCTAATCATTTTAAAAAAAGTATTTTCCTGCTATAGTGTATTTGGCTCTGCAGGAATCTTGTCCCTTGACATGTGTTTTTGACATGCAAAGTTTGACAGCAGAATTCCCTACGGTTTGGACCCTGCCAGAGACAATCTTTGCAGATATGACATTATAAAACTGCAGTTGAGTCAAAAGAGAAACGCTTTTTAAAAAACGTGATTATTATTACTGCATTCTTTACTAGAGAGAAGTAAAGCAGTTTTGGGGAAATGAGTGGATTTGTCCAGACATGTGCAGAGTTGTACATTTTAAATATGTGTCTTTATTGGTTGTGTTGGACTGTTTTTATGTTTGATTCTTGTGTGTGTGTGTGTTGTGTGTACGTTGTGTGTGCACTTGCTTAAAATGTTTGAAAAGGTTTGTTGTGTATCTAAAAGAACTGCAGTAATCATTATACTAATAAATGTTACTCGATGTCAGTTTGTCAAAATCAATCGTCACGTGTACATGTGTGTGTTTCTTCTGTCCACTGCATATCACAGGAATGGGAAACCAGTGAGTACAGCAACTCTCTCTGTGGGGAAAAAAAAGGATGAATGCTGCATGTGACTTTCTGCTCAAGGAATGTGGTTATGATGTTGTGCATCTCCCAGCATTAGGCTTCTTCAGTCCTCTTGCTCCCTGGGGTTTGAGCACCCTGTTTTCACCCACTGGTCAAAAACACATCATCAGTGGAACCCGAGGAGCCTCTTTTGGTCCTCCTACATGCTCATACGATACCTGCATGTGTTTTTCCTCCACGGTCCACCAATGTCTAAGCTTTGCCCCTTTTTTTTGCCCCTATCAGTGTGAAACTTCAACCTTATTCTGCTGTTTATAGCATTTGTCTGTTTGACAAACAGACCCACTTGCTCATCTCTGACTATGTCCTGAAAACTCCAGTGGCTTGAAACCGTTTAGTGTGCCTTGCAAATGTATTCATACCTCTTGAACCATTTCACACGTCACACTGAAAACACACCAAAAAATCCAACAAAAAGTGATAAATGTGGCATTTGTATTCAGACCCCCTTGGTTGCAATGGATTTCAGTGCAACCAATTGTCTTACAAAATATCCTCATTAGTAACTTAAGTTCACCTTTTTGGCACTTCATTTCAGTGACTGTGCCCAATGTTTTTCTTAGGAAATCTACCTCCTAAAGACCAATACACCACAGAGGTCATGGAGGATATAGTGGAAAGGTTAAAAGCAGGATTAGTTTGTGAAATAATATCCCAGTCTTGGCATGTCTCAGAAAACTCAATTTATCCTCAATCGTAACACGACAACATACCAGGACTTAGTTGTTCAACCACATTGACATGTTTGGGCAGGAACTGCATTAATCAAAGTAGTTTCTTAGAAACTCTGCAGCTCTTCCAGAGCTGCAGAGACCTCAAGCTCTGTTGAGAGGACAGCTGTTACTTGTACTCTCTGAGAAATCTGGCTTTTTTGGAACAGTGGCAAGACGAAAGGGAACTATTACATTTAAGTACACTAACGGTATGCCACTAGCCACATAGGATCTGGCCTGATGATTGCCACACTTTAAATAAAAATAAAAAATAAAACAAAATGTAAAAATTAAGTATCTACATTTCTTGTGCTACAGAATTGTACACCACTTTGTGCTTGTCTGTCACATAAAATCCTGGCAAAGCACACAGACATTTATTTGCTGTAAATTTCCAAATGTGCAGAAGTTCAAGAGAAGTGAATACTTTTGGATTGCACTGAATGTTGTCTCGTGGGGACTATAACCTGCAGCCGCATAAGCCAAAAGAATGAATGGAGTTTTAGATGCATACTTGCATTCGCTGGGCATAGCGACGTGCAGAACCTGAATGCAGATCAAAACCTAGAAAGTTGATGCATTCAGATTTTAAAATAACTTTCAGTATCATGTTTTCTCAGTGCATGAATTATCGTCTATATCTTCACATGAGCAAGGTGAGATGCTACAAACAAGGTGGATGTAAGAGGTGCCTTCATTGTTTCTCTGGCTTCAGTTTGTGCAGTTCTTTCTTTATTTTATTGACTTCTTCCTCGCTGGAATGGTTTGGATGTCTTTCTGAGATGTTGCTCATCAGATAAATAAAGTGAAAAATGTGAAATGATTTGTGTTTTAAATCAATACACATTCTTTCCGTTGGTTAATAAAAGTGTCTTCCCTGCAGTGCATCAAAGTGATGTCTCGGATTTAGTTTTGATCAAGTCTGGAGAAACACCTGGGTTTCTTGACAATGACATGAATATCCAAGCACATTCCTCCCACTCCCAGTAGTTTTAGAAATCAATTAATATTGTGATCCCGTAGTAATTGTGTTCATAAGGGCAGTTATAGGACCTTGCTTAGTTTTTTATGTAAGGGAGCTGGAAAGAATTTTCTAAGGAATTCCAAATGATGTTATCATCATTCCTGAGTGCATGTCCCAAGCGTCTCTTTCTCATTCACCCAAAGCTCCAACAGCAGGCAACTCTAGATAATGGTTTCTTAGAAATGGAGTAAACTCGATAACAAAAAGTTGTTCTTACGCTTTTGCCATTCTCATTCTGGATGAAGATAAACCATCCATTATTATTCATGTCTTATAACTTTTTAATCATTTTGTTCCTCCTCCACAAAGTTCTATTCTTGGTTCTTTTTTGACAAAACTCAGATATTTCTAAATAAAGAAATAAAATGCGTGGACTTTCCCCAGATCAGTTTTCAGAGAAAACGCATACATAAAAATCATGCACTGTAATGGATCCTCATCCCACAACAACCAGCTGGTGTCAAGTTGAATGTGCATCTAGGCATAGAGTTACACCCTACTCTTTATTTTTTGTTAACTGTAGAGCTGGTGTTAGATGCAGGAAGCAGAGGTTGCAAAAGGAGATTTACTAGCAAAGCTTTTACAGACATTTAACTAGACTTCCTCTTTGTTGCTTCCCTTAAGTTCATTGCTTTGCATACCACTTTGTCAAGTCTAACTCGGTGACATTTCACTTTTGTCCTGCCTTTGTAACTAGATTGCAGATTAATGTGAAATGACTAAGGTGTACAGCTAAAACCAGGTCTTTACATGCACTGTGTAAAAAGACAGTGCATGTCTGCTGTTTCATTAGACTTTATTTATTTTCTTTTTGGAGAAAAATATGGGAATGCTTGACATTTTTGTTGGAGACCTCTTACCCCAAAACTAATGTCACAAAACAATAGTAATTTTCAGTACCCCATCAGGTTGTTTTTGAAACATATATACATAAATGCTGCACTACTTGCACTATTATAAAGTAATAAGCTAGACAGCCTTCATACGGTTTCAAACAATGCATTACATCATTTGCTATACACAGAGTGTGAAGTTGCCAGGCAGGCAGCAGGAACAGAGGAGGAGTGAGGCGCGCCGAGATGCACGGGGGCTATTTTAGTATCTCGAGGTCTTTCGTTATAGACACTTTCCGGGCTTGTATGACGAAAACTGTGACAGCAAGTTCCCTTGCAGCACCCTGAAAGACTGGCAAGGACATCTGATTGTGAATTTCTTTGGAAGGAGGAACTGATAAGAGACTGTGACATTGAGGGGGTGTTTGTGTTGGTCATTGGCCCACAATCTAAGTGTTACACACACAATGTATAGCTTAGCAGATATTACATTAAGGGTCTTGCAAAACCAGTGATACCCTAGAGTACTTTTTCACTTTTGTTTTGTACATGCACAGCCGTGATCTTTTATACATTTAATTGGCACTTATCCAGTAGACCAAGGAAAGGTTGTGAATTCATGTACAAATAATTTACAAGCTTTCCAAGTCAGCAATTTTCGAAATAAAATATTAATGGTGTATTGAGCCCCTTTCTTTGGTACACCGAAATGAAATTTAGCTAATTGCCTTCATAAGTCTTTTAATTTGTACACAGAATTAATTGCCTGTATTTTATTTAACCTTAGCATAGATGTTCTGTTGATGCCACAGAGGTTATAAAACAATAACCTAATCTTTGAGCAATTCACATAACACTCTTTAAGAACACAAAATGGAAAAAGTATGACATAACTGGTAACCTCTAGGCCAACCACTTAAATTGCAAGGCCAGCTGAAAATGTAGCAAATGTTTGATTTTTGGTACTGAGTCTATCAGACTATCAGGTATGAAAACACACTAAAAATGGCAGGGTCTCTCTTCAGTCTGTGTGAGTTTAAGCTATTTGGCAATCCTGCCTCCAAATGTACATAGCTGGTAAGACTTGCAGCTGTAATTGTAACCAAACGTGGCTATATAAAGTATTGAGCAGGGATAAACACAAATGTGTGCCACAGTTACAAAACATTTCTTTCAGGTAAAGAAAAAATGTGATCATGTTTAATTTTCCTTCCACATTACAATCATGAGCTACTTTGTGTTGAACTATGACATAAAATCTTACAAAATGTGAAAAAGGGGTGTGAATACTTTTGCAAGGACACTGTTCAGGCTGACGTGATCGTGGTTTAAATCGTGTGTTTTAAACATATAAGAGGACTTCATTCTCTTGTTAGTGTTTTTAAAGTACAAGCTCTAAAGCTGCTTAACCACAGTACTGCGCTTCAATTTGTACAGTGAAACTTAAGCACCAATACTGAAGACAAACAACTATTAAACTTTAAACTGGGAGACGATGGGTGTGACTCTCCGTCTCTACAATAAAATCCTGTACTGTGTATCATAAAGTTTGGCTACAATTGTACACTTGGCTACTTTTTTTTTTTTTCCTCAAATGCTTAAAAGCCAGAATAAATATTTAGATTTGTGCCGGACTCTTTCCTATCCTTAACAACATAACTTAATATGAATAGTTTCTCCAAACAGTTTGTCAATTTAAGTTTCAATTTGGCAAAAATAGTCCTTTTAATTTGTTTTGTAGATTTAGCAAGTGAGAAAGAAGCAATGTTTACAGCATATTTCATTCACTTAAAACTTTATTAGTTTTCTACAGATCTGTTTTTTTATTTTTTTATTTATCTTCTTTCAGGCATAATAACTAGTTATATTTTTTCTTTTTGTGAAACAGTGGGATTTTCATAACAGCATAATAATCCTATTAAAAGTCGCCCCACAAATCCACTCTGAAGGATATGTTAATTTTAGACAGCACTTCTCAGTTAAAACCACCTTTAGAGTTTGCATACGTGTAGAAAAATAACATAATGTGAGAGAATCATTAAAAAAAAAAGTTTTCAATTATAAATTAAGCAACCGAAGCAAACAGGTAACATATTTTGCTTCCAGTCACGTCCTGCAATTTTTCAAACAGTCACTGTATTCATATGTGATGAGGATTTCATTTTATCCTATTTTCTTCCTTACTAGTATTGTTTCTGACTGCCACCACAAGAAGATGCCGCTGGGTGAGGACGGACACGCCTGGAAAAAGAAGACCTCTGATGTCAAGGAGAAGTATGATTTCAAAGACATTCTGGGAACGTAAGTGTTTCTGCCAGCAGCAAATAAACCTGTTTTTTTTTTGTTTTTTTTTGTTTTTTTTTTTGCATGTTCAACATGCTTAACATGTGTTTTACCTTCTGTAAAATAGTGTTTAAATGCTTCAAGGCAAATATGCAGCTTCTTGACCATTTTATGTTTATTTATGCAATGCAGGGTACTGTCGTCTTTAATATGCGTCTCAATGCTGCTTGTGTGGATGTCAGCTCATGAACTGTTTGGTGTTTATTTGGGTTTAGAGCCTGTAACCCTCTCAACCTGCGGTGGAACATAAGCATACTCGTCGTTGCTGAATCTGTAGTTCCAGATCAATTTCAACTCCATCCTCACAAACAATGCAAATAATAAAAACTGATTTTTAAAATTACTTTACCTTACTTTGTTTGGCAGGTAAACTATTATTAATTCCTTTGAATGCAATGTTTTCCAACTCGATCTGTAATTTTGACTTCAGTATGCACTGGCTGGGTTGAAATATTAAGGTTTGAAAAGGTAGGGCTTCAACACTAATAACATTTTGTCACAATGTTTGTATGTTTTTAAGGCCTCTTAATAAGAAGACAAAGTGCTGAACTGACTGGCAGTGTTTTACTTCTCACACTTGTTGCTTCACACTGCTGGTCAGCTGGCTGAAAGAGGGCTACTACATGTTTGGCTCACTTACAAGAAAGACAAATGCAGTTTTTCACTTTCAGCTGGCGGGCAATTTCCACCTTCTGAATTGTTTTGTGCGGTTCAAGAATGTCAGCAAAACTTTTTTAGGGCTAAAGTTAGATATCATCCATAGTATTTGGCTTTTGTAATCCATGTTTCTTTTTAAAATTCATTTCATATTAATTATAAAAAGAACCACAAAAGAGCAATCTACTTTTACTTGAAAGCAGATTTAGTATTTTCACAGGTTTTTATTCTATTTATGGGTGTACTTAATGTTATTGTTAAGGATGACAGTGGCTCAGAATGTAGGAGTTCGTCCTGTAAACGATATATTGCCATTTGTGTACTGCTGCTGGTGGTCCTGATTGTATGGCAGCCTCAGTCTGCCTCAGGGCAGCTGTGGTTACAATGTAGCTCACCACCATGTGTGCGTGAATGACTAAATGTCCTTTGGACTAGATAAGGTGCCATACCAGGCCTTCTGCCTTTTTGTTTTCTCAAAATAACAATAAAGACATGTTCTAGACAAAATTATAACTCTAATAATCAAGAAATTGCATGAATTTAGCAGAAGTAGGAATCAGTGTTGATTCCTCTGTTAACAAATAAAAAACCTGCTTTACCAAGTTTTTGTAAATACCATGACACCAGAAAACATTGCCATTTTTAGTCATGGTTTTCGTACTGTGAGAAACTCACCCAGGCGTATACTTTGTTGAACAACTCTACACTGAGCGGTGCCGAGTTATTTTTACATCTGTGTCTGTTGGTTATTTCAATAACTTTATGTGACCCTAGTTTTACAATTGCTCGAAAATAGCCGTAGACTGTGTTTCCGCAGATCATGTGTTATTAGTCAAGTTTTGGTCCTTTCTTTTTTGTAAACATTTCTGCCCAGTTTTGAGCAGCGTTTAAGGAACAGTAGTCATCATAAGAATACAAAGTCTCTCAAATCGTTTCTTGTTTTACACACATGAACTCATTTAAAATCTAATTTTCAGAGCAGTCATCCCAACTTGATAAAATCATAGATTGCATATTGCACATTCATCAAATTACATTGAATGTTAGGATATCTCTAGATTGTGTCACTTTGCACTATTACAGACAGAGTAACCTTTTTGGAGCACAAAGTTTTTCTGGGTAATTTACCCTGAAATTCTGTTAGTGGTCAGTAAATATCTTATGTAATACAGTAATGAAATGTTTGTAATTGAATAGCTTTCTGACTCTGTGTACCTTGGTGGGGCTTCAGATGTTGAATTTTGTTGACAGTGTGTCATGTGAAACCTTTTACTTTTACAGCCTCCTTGAAGCGACCACAAGACGTTATAACAGAGCAAACATTAGAACTTTGAAATAAACTTTTGACATTAATCTTATATAGTTAGAGGTTTTGTCCTAAATACATTTTATTTATACACTTTTGTTAGGTTTATTTAAATCTACACCTTAAAATAAAGTAGTTGAATATATACAAATTCTACTTTTGTCAACCTACAGTAAAACATCAAGAAATATTTTAACGAATTTGCATTTGTTTAAGTCGTTTTGCCCCTCGGCTTCTTAGATTCTAGCTTCAGTGTTTGTCACGTAGGCTCTGGACTCTTTGTAGCACTAGAATTAAACACTAAAGAAAAAACCTTTCTGCCATGTTGCACATTGTCATATTGGAGCAAAAAAGGCACACTGCAAAGAACATCCATTGGCCAAGTAGGATGTACCATCAATTAGGGCTGTTGTAAAAGAATATTCAAGTAATCAAGTACTCTATCGATTATTGTTACGATTAGTCTAGTAATCGGAAAGCTTTCTCTCTCTCTCTCTCTCTGGAAGCTGTCATACTCCAAGCATCACGGCAGTCAATGTAGGAATGCTTATTGGTTCCCCAAAAATCGATACAAGCCCAGAAAATTGGACGTTATGCTGCTAGCACTTAGTAACATCTCATAGGTGGAAGTGAGAGCGCTGCCCAACACAAATAATGAGCCAGCTGAAGCATCGCGCGCTAAATAATAAAACGTAATTTAACAAAGCTTTGAGGCAGATACATTTTCCTTGAGGACTTTTAATAATCGAAGTACTTGAATCATTCGAGGAATCGTTGCAGCCCTACTATCAATACATAGGGTCATGACTTTTACCATCAAAGGTAAAAGTCATGAACCTAGTACCTCTTGAATTATGTTCAAAAACATTTTCCTTTTGAACATTTAACTCTGTATCATAATTATAAATAGTAAAGTCAAAAGTTTAATATATTTAAGTTCAAATTAAGCAGTTGGCTTGCAGATGTTGTAGTTTTAAAGTCTGCATCTAACAATGCCTTGCTCATTTAGCCATGTGTTGAGGTTGAATGCTTTGTGAGAATACACTGTTTTTAATGCCATATAACACACATCCTCTAACAATTAGGAAGGTATCATCCATATGTCACATATTGAATTGGTTTTGTTATTTATTAGGTCAACATGGCAAGTCTTCTTACTTGGCCTTCTGATGCCATTTTAAGAGGATTCTCTATTTACAAAAGCTTGCAGCCTAACCAGACTTGTGGCTACATAGAGCTCTGTTCATGCAACAACGCAGCATATTCCAATGTCCACTGCACAAACTGATGTCATTATGATCACATTTTATTTTTCAAAACACAGTGAGCCCAAAAGCTTCAGGTTAAAAGGAGCCACTAGTTCTGTTTGCTCTGTTAACCTCTGTGTTTATATTGTAATAGTAACAAGAGATGTTTCCCTAAGGTGTCACACCTTTTCAACACGCCCACATCCCTGTTTGTCCAGGATGAAGTCATGTGAGGTGCAGGTCCCTCCAAGTTAAAACAGAAGCATGTCTAGTGTTATGAAATTTTTCTGACCTACCTTAATCTGGTAGTACACGTGAAGAGGAAGGGAAATTGTGGCAAACTGTGTAATAAGCTTCTTAAGTTGTTTGCAACACAGCCACCGTGGTTTGCTTTTACCTGTAAGTCTGCTTAATGTTGTCAGGTTTTATTTAGGTGATTACTTGATTTTTGAAGTCTGACATTTATCAGGTGTGGGTATAAAATTAAACTCAGTTATTCTAATTCATGATTTAGAAAAGTGAATTTTTTTCCCCCCTTTGGTTAGGTTGCTTTTACTGTAGGAGTGAAATCTTAATTTTAAAATATTTATTTTGTTCTTATTAGATTTTCTCAGTTTGATATTTAAACTTGCTGGTTGATCTTGTTAGTGTGACAAAGAAAACTGAAGAAATTGGTAAAAAGTCAAGTACTTTTTCATAGCACTGTACTTATCATTTCCCTAAGATTTACTCAACTATAAATTAAAATCTCAAGCCCAAGAAGAGTCTTTATTTCACTGACCATGTCTAAGATTTATTTTAAAGATATTAGGACAAAACGCTTAATTTGAGACATAAGCTGAAGAGATGTGTGGCCTGTTATAAAACTCAAATAAAATACCTTTTTTTCCCCCCCACTTTCTGTAAATGGATTTAAGTGCTACAAGGTAACAACAGTCTTTCATGTGGAAGTCACTCTTGCAGAGAAACAACTCCAAGTTATCTATTTTCAGTATCAGTAAGTCTGAGGAAACTCAATGGCATAAGAAGCTCTCTAAAAGAGAACTGCATTTTCAGCTTTTCAGTCAGGCTGTTTTCTAGACGTTGGTTTTACTGTCTTGGTTGTTTTCTCCCCGACCTCTTTAATTAAGTAATAAATTAGGCGTCTGTCATAGGATGTTGATTTAAACCCACCTTGCAGACATTTCATGGATTTGGCGAAGGGACGAATTGACATTGAGTCGATCTTATCAGATACCAGGACTGCTGAAAGTAGTATTGTAAAATTGTTCTGTTTTTTGAGCTTTCATTCTCTGGCAGTCACGTGACATGGTGGATTTGGAAATGTCAGGAGCTTTCTGCTCTACAAAAAAAAAATACAGATCAAAAATGGACCATAAATATCAGATCTTTGCATTTCTGCTCATAATGATTTATAAATAGAAATACACAATACCATAATAGCAGTAGCTAAAATGTAGACTGTTGAAGAAGAAATGAATGCAACCTGGCCGCTGTTGTTTATACCTGCATGATTAGGTCCCTTCCATCTGAAAACTGTGTCCCAAAGACCCGTTTTTGCAACAACTCTACAACTAAATGAAAAATCCTATCTGAGTCCAGCTAATGTGCTCATACATGAAAAGCCTTCCCATCCTTTCAACACCGTCGCTGTCATTGTTCCAGTTCCCCACCTGCCCCTGGATCGGGGCTGAGCCCGTCTGCGGAGAGATCACCCGCTCGCTGCCATCGCTCAGCTGTGTGCACCA